AAAAAAAAANTNANTTGAGNTTAAAGGGTTACACAATAACGTTTTGGTAGCGTATATCAATTTGTAAATGACTCGAGTATAGATAAATTTATATATGGTCAATAAACTAATACTTTATTTGAGTTTAAAGGGTTACACAATAAAAGAAGTAAAAGTCTCCACAAATTCATAAAAAAAATAAAGTTTTGAATCACTCATTAGCCTTTAAATTTTTCTCGTACCGACTACAATGCTTTGTTTCTTGTTGTATATATATAAAATGAAGGCCAAGGCAGGTTAAACCGGCAAATTCTAGATACCGAGTATCCGGTTTCATTCCGGTTTTGACATTTACTAAACCAGAGTATTGCTGTTTAGACATGATCATTGGTCTGTGGTACTCAAGGAACGGTACTTGATTCCAGCTTGACCAAGACTTGTAATCACCTCAAAGTCTCCAGCTTGACTCGAGACTCGTCTTCTCAATTCGGCACAAGCACAGTACTCTACGTCGTAAACATCTACGCCTTTAAACGTCGCAAATGTAGTCCTTACTCCTTCCCCTGCATTTCCCCAACAAACAAAGAGCTCAAGGACATTAAACATAAAAATTGATTGATGATGAAACGTTTGCTTTACTCAAACCTAAAAAGAATCAAAGGTTCTTTCTAGAGAAACTAAAAGCAGAAACACTAAAAGTGATCAAGTCAAGAATGTGTTCAAGATTACCATGAGTGACTAAGAGCAAATTCTCAGAAGGATACTTATCAGCAAGAGACTTCACCAAATTAAGAAACCGATCTGTGCATCTTTCTACAGTCTCTTCCCATTGTGGCATCTGAAAACAGAACCAAAAACAAGAAGATCATTCGAAGAAACTCGAAACTCAGAAACAGAACAAAGACTTCTAAAGATCATCACCTCTTTATAAACAGGTACAACATTACGATCCACCATACCATCAGGAAACATAGCTTCAAGATCCGAAATGGAGAAATCGAATTTGCCATCTTTAGGAGCAATCTCACTCTTAATAGATATTGTATTCAACATCTCACTCAACCCAAATTCAATAGAAACCTGAGAAAATGAAACTGAGAATCAATCACACATACAACACGCAACAATCACGAACGATTAACACGATTCAACACTAAATTGATCAGCAGATCTCAAATAAATCTGACCTTGAGCTTAGATTTATCGATGGAAGTGACGTCATTAGAGGAAACGGAGTTAGGGTCGAAATCGACGGCGGAGAGAGCGGCGATGACTTCGGAAGCGGTTTGTATACAGCGGATAAAAGGGGAGACGAAGACACGGTGAATCGGAAACTGGATCTGAGATCGAATCCGTTGACCAGTTTTGAAAGCACGAACCAAACCGTCGTCAACGAGCGGAGGGTCCCAAGGTCTCGCGGCTGTGTCGAGCCAGAGTGGGTCGATTTTGTCAATGCGATCACCGTGACGCATCATCAAGATGTTTTGGTAACGATCGGAATTGGAATTAGGAGGAGACGACGACTCCATTGTTGCTCTGATTGATCTTCTTCTTCGTGGTGGTCGTGGTGTGACTTTTGGGAGTACGTTGGAAGTAATAGTATACATGATG